ACTTCCAAAACGCTATCTTCAATGGCTACCATACATGGAAACGATCACAAAAAGAGCCGAAAAACCCTCTTCACTCCATTTAAACAGTAGCATACAATACGAAAGACGCGACGTCACCATCGAATGGCCACGAAAAAATCGAGTGGCGCTCGATCGCATTTACGGACAAACAAAACGTATACCAACCGGCCCCAATCTGAGCTCCGATCTCGGGCACGAAACAGCCAGCTGGTAACAAAGGTGACCAGAATCGCGGATCATAAAATGCAGCAAAAATAACTCCGAATTTAGCATCGTACACGGGCCATAAATCCACGCCGCTTCCGACGTTAAGAGTCGCCCGTGCACCTCGATCGGCCTCGTGTGCAAGGTTCTTTGACCGGTGTACGTCGAAACGTTTGCGAGGGTGTGTACACGCTTTCGCTATGGCGCTATAAGCTTTGTAACTTTCGCGTACGCTGGCCTCTGTACCTGTGATCCAAGGGGTTGGCGAAATAAAGCGAGCCACACAATGGTTAATAATCCTATTTCCTATTTATAAAGTTTCGATCGTTGGTTTTGTTGCATCACAACGAAAAGGGATCTTGAAAAACGGCTTGGATCTGTGCCGAATGAAAACTAATTTCGAAAAACAATCGCTTATAAAGAAACGATCTTGGTGGTGCATTTATCGTAAATAAATTATCGTCGAATGTTTTATCGAACGTCTCCTTAAGCCACTTACGCATTTTTTACCTCTATATTTGCCTAATTTTAATATTCGTGTAATTGGTTAGCGCTTGTTCAGTTGCTATTTTTCTACAAAAATATATGTAGAGGAATGCTATCACAGTGATTGAATTTTTGAATATTTTATTCTTTGAATCGCTCAAGTTTCTCTTACCATATAGCAGTATGCTTAACATTCTTTTCGCTTTTAGCGTGCCAAAGATATGCCGATGATTTTCAAGTATAGGAAAGTTTAAGAGATCAATGCAGTCAATGCATATAAATGGCGCATTACACGAAGAATATCAATAAACGACTAACATATAAACATAATAACTCGGTATCAGAAACATGATCGAAGACTGAATCCTGAAATCATCGATCATTATACCCTCCCCCAGTCTCGTATTCACCGATTTGTTCGTACAACAAGCAAATAGCTTAACCTTCCTGTTAAATTTTTACTTCTCTGTTAAAGCATCGAACGTCATTTATAATTACAATTACAGCGTCGTTCGGTAATTAAAGGCCTCTTAAACAAGATCGATATGATCGAGTCTTGAGAGCGAAATAAACCAGTCTGCTCATTACATGGAAACCGTGTTGCGCGGCATAATTAATCGATCGAGCCAGAATCAATAAAATTTCTTTCGATCGTACGATTATGAAGCCCATAAAGCGTTCCATAATCACTGGATCTTCCAGTCAATAAAATTCTGAACCGGTGCCGATCACCGAGGAACATATTCGCTCGATCGTTTCAAATCCGCTTGATAAAATCTCTTTAACCCCAATTTCCTGCAGCGAGCAAAGAGAAAAAATGAACAATGGTCATTTGAGGAAGGATACAGAATCTGGTTAGACTTGGTTAGACTGAGCGACGCTTAAGCGCGATTAACTCGCCATGTTATGTCTCCAGGATCTTGCGGGACCAGTTTACGAGACGTCGCGTCGTTTTCGTATAGCGCGAAATTCGAAACTCGATTCTCGCAAAGTGTTCCCGTTGAATTAATTCGATGGTCCACCGCGAATATTTACTGCTCGTCGCTCTGTGTATTTTTCGGTTGCCCAAAGTCTTCTTTACTTTCTGTTTTTAAATCAGTGATTTATAAAATTTAGATAGCGATCCTTCTCCTTTCTTTATGAGGAAGACGAACTCTTAGGAAAAATCAGGAATGTTAAATTTTAGGAATTGAGCTCTCGGTTCCTCTTAAAAATCATACTTTTTAAAATATTAATCCTCGATCGTTATTATTAGGCCATAGCTATTTAGTCTTTAGCTATCTAATTTTCGAACATTTTTTTCTAATTGATACTTTTTATTTTACACTGCGGAATACGTTAATGACATTTGTCGAGTAAGATTTACAAGTTAAAATTAACCTTCTCAAAGTGTAACAAAAAAATGGTACAGAATTTAGAATAAATTTTTGTTATCACAATCGCTCTTAAGAGACAACGATATCGATCGATTCAAAATAAGATCTACTCGGACTATAAAGGCAAAAAATTGATCTTTATCAAATATAATATGAGAGTATAATTGCACGGTAGCTTGCAATCTGTAGGGTATAAATATAGCCAAGGAAAATAAGCAACATGATCAAGGTAAATCTTTAAGCGAACCCATAAAACATCGATCTTTATGATGTTCATGAAGTATACGAATTACGAGCGTGTTTCGTATCATTTTTAATCGAAGCTGAATATCCGATGCGTGCAAAGATTCGCGTTGTATGTCGATCGTGAGGATAGATATTAAACGCAAAGCGGTCCTTGGCGGCCAAGATGGATCGTGCGAAAACTATAACGACGCGCGAACAAGACTTTCACTTACACGTCGAGACCGATTATACAATCACGCTCGATCTTCCCTTAATTATGGCTCACGATCGCCGGTCGAGATATAACAAATTACCGGATCTTAATTTTCTTCTTCCTTCCGACGTTTCCTCGAACTCGCTACTACAAACTACGAATAAATACGACGATGTGAGAAATTATGGGTCTGAAGGGAGTTGCTTCGACGCCATAGCCAAGTATCGAACCAGTTACTTGCGAAAATTGTATCGCGCAACGATCGTATTTTAGAAACAACTTACACGATAATGGAAAGTTGCATATTCGATACTGAAGTTTCCCTCGCTCAAACTTTTTATTGTTTTCAGTTGACACGTTTCACGAGACGACCGAGACTCGATATTGCCATATGTGAATCAATTCCTTTTATTTTCTGTATAAAGAGTTAATTATTAGCAAAGTTCAAATATTTCTCTATAAGAAACGCTAGTATATAAATTAATTTCACGCTGAAAACGTGAACTGTTAAAATTGAAACGAAATATTACATCACTCTCGCACGGTGCATAAAACAACTTCCAACTTCGCTATTTAATTAACGTTTCCGTAAAATTAGCAATACTACGCTCTTGTATCTTTATTAACTTGGCTTCCAATATTCAAATCGAATTTTAATTACTCAATCAAGTGTTTTAATTCCAAAGCAACCAGACTAGCCGTGTGGAGTTAAATCTTAATCTCTTAAAGAAGAGACAAGCGTTCGTTTTAAAATAAAAATTACTTTACCTCGGCCTTATCCTTCGCTGATGATCGATCAACATCCGCACTATTCTCGACAAAAACAAGAAAATAAAGACGAAACGCGTCAGATTTACGGCAAACATTAAGCCTCCCTCCCAGCCCCGGTGAAACGTGGCTCGTCGATAAATCGACATCGATCATTGTTTCGTCTCGGCGATCAAGGGGGTTGACGTTAACGACGGAATTCAAGCCTGGATGGTGTTGGCTCGTAAAACGGAACCCCTCCTTTTCTCCAGGCTTGTGCACTGTGCACGGAAACTTCAGCCGGTCGGACGGCCGCGAAACTCGAAACCCTGGCGTTGAATCGAATTAATTGAAATGGCCGGAGCTATTATAAGAAGTTGCGGTGCTCGTTTCGTCGGGAATCGGATCGATATCCCCTGACAGCAGGATAGAAAGAGAGAAAGAGAAAGAGAGAGAGAGAGAGAGAATTTCTCTCTCGTTCACGAGAACCAGTTTGTCGTCTGGCTTTATTAAAACATGTAATTACAATCTTATTATAAACTTATCGTCGCTCGACGGCCCCTCGAGAAACGACACTCTAGGCTACCGGTGAAAATTACTTGTGCCGCTTTTCTCCAGATCACGTGAACCCGATCGATTATTCACGGCTCGTTTCCTTCGATTAAAAGACGAGATTGTGGCGCGCCAAGAGATTCTTTTCTTTTTTTACTTCTTGTCGTTTTATTCGCTTTTGTCAAACGAGCTAGTTCGTACTTAATTTTAACATCGGCGGATACTTTCCTCTGTTATGTCGGGATCTATTTACATTAATCTCGAGGTCTTGCTCGATCAGATTTAACACGGTCTTAATGATGGCAAATTTAATAGCGACGATTGCTACGAGAGTGAAAAGGAAGTTGTAACGTAGAGGTTGTAGGGAGGATCTAACAACCGGTGGTTTATTTGTGAATTATTTTGAAGAATAAAACCATTTAATGAAAAAGAAGCATTAACTTTATTGCAAACGAGCAAAAAATGCACCAAGTTTCCACTACGTCTACTTGGGAATTAATGAGAGCTAACAAGTCAGATAAATCTTCTAAGTTCTACAAAAATATAATCGCGAACGCAACCAATTAGCTCATGTTATTTCCTATATAAATAATAATGTATCATATGATGATACAGTTAGTAATTTTATATCAAATAATATTGCCCAGGTCTCATCACGTGGAGGTTGTTATGTGTGGAGACCCACCCTAACCACATCCTATCCACCCTCCTTTTACGAACAAAAATTTATTTAAAACATCAATTTATAAACGAATGCTCTTTTCAGTGTAAATTTGCAAAATGTTGCATCTTTTTGATCGTTTTACAAAAGAAAAAGGAGCAAAAGGAGCTATAAGGAAGATCGACGGGAAAGACTAATCCTGAAGATAAAAGTTGGAAATTAATCATAAAAATAGATAATTAAATTAAATTTTAAACTAATGATATAACACTATGTGAGACGCTTGTTTATAATATATCAAGAGTTTTACTTTCATATCTTACTTTCATTGCAAAGGAAGGTGTAGAATAATCGAGAGTTAAAAAGAACATCAAGAAAAAAGACAAAAATAAAATTAAATACGTCTCACAAAAAGTTACATTTATTAAACTTAAATCGACGCGAACTATCTTTTCTATTACGCCAACTAGATCCATGAAACTAATTACCGATAAACAAAATTAAATACCCATACTTAATATTAAGATTTTTTCTAAGCAATAATTATAAATCTAAACCTAATCCTAATTATAAATCTAAACTATCCTATCTATCGTCAATTTAATGATTTCGATAGATCTTATAAATATTTGATTGTAATAAGGGACGAGAAAGGGATATTGCATGGAACAAACGTATCTTTCAAAATATTGAATATTTTTCACGAACTTTAAAACATGTTTCTCGCCTTACTAATTCTATCACTGACCAACTAGAGATTTCGTGGAGTCCCTACACATTACAAGTCTAAAAGTTTTATTCAGACTCTATATATGTACGTATATTGAGATCTAATAATTTTTTTATGGTTTCTATTTATCTAACAATCTGAATATAATATAGAGAGAGAAAGGGATATAGGAGATCCGAGTCTTCTTTCGTTGATTCCATGATCAGTTTCTGAAACAAACTCAAATTATAAAAAGATTAGATAAAAACTTCATGGGACTCAATGAAATTCTCAATAGGTGAGACTCAAACATTTTTGTGTACTATCATTCTTCTTTCTTCCTTTAATTGCTTTCCATAATTCACAGTGTTCCATTCTAGAATCTTTAACATTGCTAAAAAAGACCAACAGCTACCGCGATATTTTATTCGCAACGCTAAAGCAAACACGATTATTATTTTACCGCAACACTAATCCAAACCGAAATCAACACTGTCACAACTCTAATTCAAACCGAATTTAACATTTCTTCGCAACTCTATTTGAAAGCGCGAAATTTGGACCACATACTTCGCAACTCTAATTCAAACAGATATTAATTACACATATTAAAAGCGAGCATAGTGACAAAATAGTAACAAGAATGACTTCCCATGCTCTGGATAATCCAGAAGATGAGGAGTCATTAGTAGTTGCCCTTTTCTATGGCAGTTTGCCGGGCCTCTTCGGCTTATAGCCTCTTCTTTTTTCGGGCGCAATGCCCGCTGAAACTTAAATCTAAGCTCGAGTCTTTCTAATCGCAAACAAAAGAAAAACTTATAAAGGTAAAATAAAAATATAAATCACAGAAGCTGATTCAAGTGCACATGGATTGAGTATTCGCATGTGCGTGCTCGAGCGATACACGACCGCGGAATTCAAAAAACCGATAGGTAAAACCTTAAACGAGTGGCATTCCCCACTAGTTCTAGTTTTACTGACGATTTTTCAAATTAGATTTCCTGAAACAGGTTGGTCACGCGAAAACGCGCCTACCCGACCACAGACTGTGCCAACCTGCCCGGCCCTACCTACTTATAATTAACAGACACACCAGAAAGTATGCTACCTATCCTACCTAGACCTATATTTAAAAATGGCAAAACAAGCACACCAACACACTCACTCCACGATTCTCTCACATACCACCCGGGTGCAAGGGCCTACACTAGAGAGCACGTCCCGGGACGCCTCCGACACCCGAGTTCAGCACGCTACTTGCACACTCTAATTTACGTACCATTTTCCTGAAATCGACTGACGAAAGCTAGTAACCATTGCGTAAAACGTAATAAAAGTACACGTAAATTTCAATTTTAATTATGAAAATTAATAACAAAAAGATTAAGTACATCTTTTATACAGACGTTGTTATTATAAATGATTACAAATTAGACAAATTTAGTATTATTATCATAATTTGATCTGATTGGACGAATATTTGTGAATTGTTTTTTTATTATTTAAAATTACAGCGAATAAAGTAATAATTGAAACGACGCAATTCCACGGCCTAACCACACACACACACACACATAATGTGGAAAATACGTCGTGCACGATATACTAACGCATCGTCAGTCGCTAAGAAATATTTATAAGCTTATGAACTATGGTCATCGTACTCAATGCCTTTTCTTCACTCAAGTAACACCTGGGCACGTGAGTGAGGTCCTGGCAAAAAATACGGAAAGGGTTAAACCTGAAAATCCTGAGCTAAAAACTGATTAGTACATCTACTTTACGTCTACCGGACTAAAATTGCATCAAAATAATGTAATAATATTGACTTTGTACTCTACTTTACTAATTTGATTATTGAAATTATCACAGTAAAAGAAAAAAACTGACAAGTAAGAAATTTATTTAATAATATTGATGCAAATAACTTCAGGCGATCTCTTCATCAAAGCACATTTTTGGAAACATGTAAGCAGTGTTGTAAACTCGTTGCTTTGATTCCAAAATTTGCCTGTCGCGAAGTTTCTTCTTGCATATGAAATTTCACACATTTTTATGCGCAAAAAGGTGAACTCTAGTGCCTTTGTGTTTTAAACTTTACTCGTGTTCATAATATGAAAATCAAAGAATTCATACGTTAATACTTTCAATATTATTTCTAATAATATTATTGGATAATATTATTATTTAACTTCTGCATATATCTTGGTGAACAATAACTTTCAATCAAAGATAGTTAAACAAATTATTAATAGTATGTGGTTCATATTAATTATTCACATTATACTAATATCATTAATATAAAGTGTAACTCGTCAATGTACTATCGTATGTAACATACTAAATATAATAAAACGTATTATAATAAATGTGTAATACAATAAAACGCGATGTGCAAGAAGACCTATCCTGAACTAGTAAATAAAATACAGAAAACAAAAATATTACTACTCGCGGGTATAATAAATACCCGTGGTCACTATGCTGGCAAAAAGATTCTACGTAATACAACCAGTCACCCGTGCCGATTCGGACCTTTCATCCTACGACATGATTGAGTGACCGGAGGAACAAAAATGCATGCAACTTACAATTAGATGCGTAGGACGTTGTCAGCACTGCTGCAATAGTCTAGAAGACATTATCAAGGAAGAACCATCAAAGCTCATGGGAGAAGTGGAGGATGTGAAAAATCTGTTACAAAACATGGATTGTTGTAAGTTACTATTAAACATTATGATTATTTGAGAAATTTGAAGTAATGAAAGACTAATCTCGATTAAACATAAAATTATAAAAGCTTTGTATTCAAAAATTGTAAATCTAATAGTTTCTAAATTTGCCCTAATCATATTCTAATTAAAGACTAGCAATTAAAGAAAAATATACAAAGATACTTACATACTTGGCTTTTGAAGCATCATTTGATCCTCTCAAAGAACTGGTAAGTGGTAGACAGTGGGGCAGATCTGTATGTAACAAAATATGGAACGTTATAATTTACTGAACAAAAAAATTTCTCTTCTAATAATTCTTAATTACTAGAAGAATTGCAACTCTAACTCAACAGTTCAAGATATAGGAATTGGAAATCTAATAATTTCTGAACCATGTTACACGCCTTTCTTCTAATTCAATATTAAAACTTTAAAACTTTATTTCAAAATTTAAATTACAAAAAAAATATACTTACACTCTTAAACTCCTGGAAAGGCTTTATCCTCTTGAGCATTGATTCTAATGCCGAAAACGAATAGTATTTAAAAAAAGAGTATAAATAAAAAAAGAAAAATAAAGTACTATTAACGCGCTCGTTTAAATAAAACGCCGAACAAACACTGAATCTAATTTCGCGTATGACTATTGCAATTAAATTTAATAAGAGCTATTGTGCTCTAAAGAATATTAAAAAGAAACTATTGCGTTGCAAACACTGACTCTATCAACCGCATTGCACGTTGTCACGAACATTCTCTGAAAACAAATCTACATTAGTAGAGAGGCGGAGGGGAGTAGGGGAATAAGTAAGATATGTTTTGCTTTCATGCGTTTTTTCTTTTGTTGTTGTCTATCGAGTTATTTTGAAAATACTGCTGTTTTTATAAAGCTATCGAAGACAAGTTACGTTGTTGTCATTCATTTCTCAAAGTATCATAATGAATATTACGCAAATGAAATATGTATTTGTAACATACGAATAAGTAGAAAATATTACTTGAGAATATGCAATATTTTTAAACATTTAGAGATGTTATAAATAAATGTATGTTAATATAATATAATCGATTTCAAAGATTATACTCTAGGCTAGTTCAATTTCTTGCTTAAATGTAACAAAATTTGACAAATCTACTTTAAATTTGAAAACTTGTCTAGTAATTCGCTTTGTTCAACTATTTGGAAGTCTGTTTAGTATTGGCATTGAAATAATGAAATAATATTCCGATAATTTATCTCAAATAAATAAATCATTCATAATATTCGACATAGCAAAGTAATTTCTACAGTCTTTTCTAATTTCATGTCGGTATTCTCGAAAAACACAAAGTTATTCATTGTTCTACTATATTACACATGAACAACGAATCATAAGATCAGGGATGAAATATGTATCATAAAATAAATAATTGTATACCAAAAATTACCAATGATTCAATGAAAGGGCAATATAAACTTATCCATCTCCACGAAAAAGCATTAAATTAAACATTGACCGTTATGGCGTCCATATTGGAATTCCTGTTTTTTGGCGCCAATATGTCTTCTTAACTGACGCCAATAACCTGCAAAAGAGAGAATCAACAATTTGGAACAAATATTCGAAATTAAAAAGAATATTATATTAAAATCAAACAATAATCAAATCAAAATCTGTGTCAAAAGCAAGAATACAAGCTATTGGTAACTCTAATGACCAAATACACGATCGAAGAAAAAAGAACAACCGAAAAATGCAGAGAGGCTATTCAACTGTCATTTTAATCAATTAATAACTAAAATAATGCGTATTAATTAAGCAAACCAAATAGTACAGTGTAAAAACAGCAGAACAACGGTAGTAATACAAAGACAGCAACGACGGAAATTCTACGTAATTATGTACCTGCCGCGAGTTGATACGCCTTAACGACACGATCTTCGACCTCCGAATGCCACACCGCGCCGCTGTTTGTCTCACCGAGCGAATTATGTAAAGTGGTGGGGATGTTCAGCCCGGTTGCAAGTTTATCGCATTCGAGCCGACGAATTTCTAGAAAAACTATGAGCTATAGGAAATGTTTACAACAGCGAGGGACAAGAGTGGTGTTATATTACATACACATACGAATTGGAAACACGACTATATTACAGTAGAAATATTATTCGTTCTCTTTAACGTGACCAAATAAAATTCATATATATTATTCCTAATGAATATGCGGTGAACGTGTAATTAAAAGTAATGATTTTTTTAGTATGAGAGAAAGATATATTTTTGATGGAGAGTTTTAGTTTTATGTTGTACGAGTAACACTATTTTAATTTAATTACTTATTACTGTTCGTATATTATGCGTTATGAACGGGTAATGGCATAGAGAACATTGTTTTAATCAAAATCGTAATTAGAAAAGAAGATTGAAATGAATGTCTAGTCTAGAATAAGTTGTTCTTAAAGTTTATGTCTAAAAAAGTAGTACCATATTTAGTCGCATTAAAGCCATCTATACATATTCTGTAATGAAATCGTTATTAATTATTATCAATAAATATTAACAGAGAGGACCTAGTATTTCAAACACCCTTCTTAAATAACGAATAGCTCTGGAAATAGATCAGATTGAGACACGCTGCTTTTTTTGATTAAACAAGAATTATAGATAAACCTTTTTAAAATAGACAAAAAATGTTTCCAGGTCACGTTATTGAAATATATTGAAAGCGGGTGACCGCAACAGTAAATCGTCAAGCATCGTTGAATTCATTTTTCTCTACCCTAGCATGGCATCAGAGGAAAAAAATTGTATGATTTGTGACTCGAGGTTTTCCCACTGTGATGTTTCTAAAAAAAAGAATCCCAAGGAACCGGCGTAACTAAGTGCCAGGAAAGAAGTGACAGCTTTATGGGAACCATACCCTTGACCTGAGCTTCCAAGCACGATTCAAGCTTTAGCTTTTGCATTCGAAAATTCCTCGCAAAAATATTTCGACCATTACTTCTAAAGTCTATTGGCGAAAAGAATTCGAAAAAAAGATTACACATTTGCTTTATAAATTCTTCCGAATCTTTAAATTGCCTGTTTTCCTATATCACCTATGTATTACATATGTATACATGTATATGTAATACATTACCTAAAATCCATTCTTTTGACCTATGAATACATGTATGAATAAGAAAAAATTCAATTGCTATGGTTTATGAACCTATGTGTCTTTAAGGAAGTGTATAATTACTTTTGCAACTAAAAAAATTTAAGGTCTTTCTACGATATAGTAGACTATTATAGTAGTACAGATCGTAATTATTCTCTGCATCGTTTATTAACGACACGCACTTATTAACGCGCATATGTAAAAAAATTATTTGATAAAAGTTGTCACAATCTTGTTCTTATCCATACGTGTAATTTGTTCAGGTACTTCTGATGAATAACCTGTTATTACGCAAGAGTAGATTGCTTTTTCTTCCAGTCTACATCTGCTACATAATAATCAGGCTGTTGCATTTTTGTCGCGATCTTTATAAAAAGATCAAAAAGTTGCTTATATTATAAACATACCTTCCTCTTGACGTATGATATAAAGAATAATCTTTATCGAAGGAGTACTTTTAAAATTTCTTTTTAAATTCTAACGAACAGCTTCCCATACTTTATTTTTTTATTACAACTTGTGCTCGTTTAAAAATAATTTCGCTACATTCTTAAACAGTGCAATTTTTTCCACGTGCTTTCTTCATCTATCCATAAATAATAAAGATTTACTATCCATTTAAGTGCCTCACCCTGCATATAATATGTATATCCTTGTTCGCGAAGGTATTACGACATCCCACAAGAAATACGATTTTCTTTCCATATCTACCAGCTATAGGCGATCATTCTCATTTTCCGTCTCGTTACTGCACTTCGTACATGTATCTTTTCATATACGTTTTAAAGTGTTGTTCCCTCTGAGTTCTCGTCGGTCATAATTTAGATCCTTCGACTTGAGCTCGTTAGAGCGCAATATAACAGCGAAACTGAAACGATAATTTACACCGATATTTATTAATAACGATACACGTATCATCGCCATTTTTATTACTATTTTTATTATTTGCCACATATACGCACATACACATGAGCTATATAAATAATATTGGTACTTTGTACTTCTAGGCATAGAAAATAATTTTAGAGACAATTTTTTAAAGTATAGATATTTTATGACTCGTTGTAGTTTTGCTTTTTTCTCTTGGATTATTGTTCATACGATATATATTCTATATAGATAAATAATACCCTATTTAACGTTCGAGTGCTATAGTAAATTGTTCCATTAACGTAAGCTCGATTCTTTGTTCGTGCAAATTTGTTATATTAAATATTTGAAAGACGTTAAGAGCCTTGTAATTCTTGAAGAATCTTAATAGATTTAATTGGGCTAAAGAGCTTGGATATCTGGGAAGGCTCGAAAGTCTTCGGATTCCCAACTCTTGTAGAAATCTTTCAGCATTTCTGCCATTTCAACCAGGCGTGGATATAAAATCGTTAATTAGAGTAATCTCCGACTTAAGCGCGGTCATAAAGAAAGAAGCAATTACGTTACTCAAGTCATTTACCATCGCTACGTCAATATCATTTTATTAGATCTTGTTTTGGATCAAATCGATCTATCTTTTACGTTTGAATGATGCAAGTGAAAACAACTTCGTAAAGTTTTTTACACGATCTCGCACCACGTTAATAAAACATATTTTTACTCCTTATAGCTTACAGACAGTCGGTGTATCGGCTGGAATTTAGATTGGACAACCTGAGTTCGTTATACTTTCCAAGACTAGTTGGATAATTTTATGGTTTCGAAGAACTACTCGCGCTCATAGATAAAAGTATAATATACGACGCTTACGTACTTTATGGACACGAACACGAGGAAGTAGCTTGACATTTCTAGGGATATTTCACAATCTAAAGTCTCCCGTGAAAATAAATAAAAATACTAATAAATTTCCTCAAAAGTGAAATTACTCCAAACGCACGAGTCATAGATAATGCAAAAGCGTGGAAACATTACCAAAAGACCAACACAATCATCCAAAAGTCTGTCTACGTCTACTACCATTATTCACAGGATAGAGAACCCACATCATCCACAGTACACATACACTAATGGTAACGACCAAATGTCATCCTCCACTGTCCACGTCTCTTTTCCACCCTATTCTCGTGAATCACCTGGTCCAAGCGGAGTTGCACAAAGAACAGGAAGACATCAGTACCCCATACACTCCACTTATCACTCGTGTGTCCTAATGGACCCTCGAGCAAGGGGTTGCCGGCCGATCGATCTCGCCATGAGGTTAACTCTAGTCTAACCACGTAAATGTTGCTTCAGCCGCGTTATTCGCGACTACTTGCTCTCGAAAATCAAAGGAACAGCGTTAAACGAGAATAATTCGGGAATGAGTGTGCGGATTCATTGGAGGGGCGAATAGAGAGGAAAAGAAGCAGCGAGGATATTGCTAAGATTGGAGCGCCGTGTGTGGGCGTCGTAAACACGCGGCAATTTATGTTTCCATTTAACGTCTCTCGCCACCGTGTAAATTCTGCATGCGACAATGCGCGTCTCGTAAACGATCTTGATTTTTCGCGATTCGCCTGATTTATCGGAATAGTCTGTAATCGATCGGTAGCTTGTCTTCGGTAAACTGAGAAAGGAAATTTAGAAATTGAAGAAATTAAAGAGCTAAAGTTAAGAAGAAGCGAAATGCAGTTGCACGAAGAGTTAAAAAGTTTGAGGATAGAAGCGATATTAATGCCTGTATGAAGATCGTACAACATTTTTTCTTAGTGACTAAAAAAAGAGAACTTCAACCCTTTGATTGTGGTACTGAGCCACCCTTATGGTACGGATTATAGTTCTAATTCCACAAAATCAGATTGATTCGTAACACAATTTAGAATTATTAAAAACAAATTATGTATACTGTTCCAATACTCTTTTTTATTAAACAAAAATATCTGAAATGACCGAAATGTCGGATTCGTTATAACAGATTTAGACAAAGTAGGTCTCATATCCATTACTACTCGTCAAGGAAATATCAAAGCTCGTCTTGTAAAAGTCACAGTATCAAAAATACATCGAACACAATGAAATCATTCGCAAACCAATCGCGTTAATATCTCTAACATTCTCATTTAAAATTCCATCGATTTCCATGAATAAGAAAGGGCACACGACATTTTTTAGTTAAAATTCCGACAAACGTGGCGCGATTTGACTAAGAACGGCGGAGGGAGCGAAAAACTAAAAGCCTGCCGGCACGGGTGAGATTTACGTGGGCCCTTAACTCGTCGTCCCTTTCGGTTATCTCGCGCCACGAGGACGGAAGGTGTGCTTCAGAGAGAAGAGCGGACGCGACGATAAGCAGCATCTTGTTTCGGCGATAACACGTAGACAACGCGCTCCCGGGGGGAAAAGCTGTATACACACTTGTGGGAACACAATTCAGGGAAACGTCTTCCGTTCTGCGGGCCGGTGCGGCGTCACGACGCCTCATGCGACACGCATGTTTCCTCGTGCTGACAGTCAAACGATCCACGGATCTCGTCCTTGGAACCCCGTGGCTACGACGGCCCACACAAACTCGTGTGGCCTCCAGTCTCGCGAACCAGAACCGTGTAAAAACCACCACAAGCCACGAGCTAGCGAAACGATCCGCGAAAAGCATCGCGAGCAAAGTGCTCTGGTCGTTTAGCCGTCGACATCCTCGTACGAGAGATCGTTCTGGTTCTGGCTACGAGAAAAAGTCGGTTTCATAGAGGGGTAAAAAAGTCAGAGAGAAACGGGACAAATGGCAGAAGTATCGCGGTGGAACAGATGAATTTTTTGCCAAGGAATATTGAAATAAGGAGGCTGAGTAATGGATGACCTTGGGGATTAAAAGATCCAGGCGTGGTCGAGATTTGCATTGGAATTAATAGTTTGAGATTTGAGAGAGATTGGAATGACAGATGGAAAAAGTTTTTAGACCTTCTTGAATCCTTTTTCTCAAT